CCCGAGGCTCAGAAATTGGTCTAAGATCACACAGCCAGCGAGCGGCAGGGCTGGGACCCAAATCTCGGTGCCGTTCGCTCCAGAACCTATGCCGTGTCCAACATGCCCGACTTCCAAAGACTGGGCAGGAAAACACATAAAATAAATGCGTACTTTTAAAACCAATTGGACCACGTTTTAAATTAGAAGCGACCCATTCAAATAGACGTAATTTTTCTGGGTACATTTTCTCGCAGGTAATTGAAAGAACTGGCCAGCTGGAGGCGCAGGGTAAAGAGAGGCAGAGTGACAGGCTCTGTGGGAGTTTTCTAGGTTTTCTCCACTATTCCCCAACACCTGAGACCTCAAGACACCCCAACCTGGGAGCCTCCTAGGTTTCTAGTACTTCTTTCTACTATTTAACAATAGTAAATGTAAGCTCAGGTTTCGAAATGTTTAACACAGTGTATGTTTGGTCCTTTTCAGCGTAACATCTATGTCCGGCCTCTGGCCTGTGACTACAAAACTTCACGATAAGCATCTGCCCGGGGAGACCCAGTGCCCGTGTTTTCTGTCACATGTCCCAAGCAGAATTGACAGAGGAAATACGGAATGTCCATGGGCCCCAAACTCTCACTTCCATCACTGACTGAGGGAGAAGGAGGAGGTGGCACCTGGGGAGACCCCAGGGGACGGCAGACCATAGCGAGCCCAGGTTCCTCCGCATCCTCGGGGTGGGAGGCTATGGATGATCTGTGTCCCACACCCAGTTCATACCTTGAAGCCCTAAGCCCTAAAGTGATGATATTTGAAAATGGAGACTTTGAGAGGTGATGAGGTTTAGATGAGGTCATGAGGGTAGAGCCCTCATGATGGGATTAGTGCCCCTATAAGAAGAGACAGCAGAGAGCTTCTTCACTCTCTCCACCCCATGAGCACGCAGAGAGAAGGCGGCCATCTGCAAGCCAGGAAGACTGGTCTCGCCAGAACCCGATCATACCGGCGCCCTAATCTTAGACTTCCAGCCTCCAGAACTTTGAAAAAATAAATTTCTATTGTTTAAGCCACCAGGTTCATGGTATCCTGTTATGGCAGCCCACGCTGACTAAGACAAGACTCATCCAGAAGGGCATTAAATAGCAAATAAAAACGCCATGACATATCAAGAGCGAGACCTGGAAAGGAAGTGTCCTAGCAGATGTGAAAAGAGGGTTAAGACGTTCGAGAAGGAGAGGCGACAGAGGCATTCTCTTCACAGATTTATACAAGTCGCTCTGGACTCTCCGTCCACTTCTTGCTACCCACGGGACAGTAAGATGTTTACAGATGCAGTGGCGAACTCAAAAAACAAACCCCATCAGAACTTTCAGAATGAAAACAGAGAGGGACTAGAGAATAAGGGTCTACAAACTCTTACAGTGACTGAGAGCGAAATGGTTACTGAAAATAAAAAGTTCCTGATGGACGATCCAGTAGAACAGACCAAATATGTAAGGAATATATTTGGAACATTAATAACCCAGCCAGACTTTCCTCCCAAGTCGGAACAAGAAGATAGTTATCTTAAAGTAGCAAATAACGCATGATTTTCCACTCTTCCACTAACTATTGCAACTAACAGCCAGGGAAAAACCAAAGAGAAGGTGGCTAGTGTATTTAAGAAAAGCTGACAGTGTGTCTGTTTCGACTGTATAATATTTTCTAATGCAAAAATATATTTCCTATCAGGTCAAGGTCATTCTGATTTGGGACATTTGAAAGAATGATTAAAATCTCTTGAATGACTGGTCTTCTATTCGTCTCAATTCTATTTATTTGTGGCACGAATGGAACAAATTTGAAAACAGGAAACACGATTGATAGAGCGAATGAAAAAGCAATAAAATTTGAAGTTGAAAAAAAAAATACAGGATGCCTAGTTCAATCTGAATTTCTCTTAAGCAACGAACAATCTTGTCTTTTCCTTTGTTCAAATGCGCCGTGGCCACCTGAGCCCACGTTCCATCCCGGTCTAAGGCTCCTACACACGGAGGCCCGGATGTCGACAGGACTCTACCCTTCACGAGGTGCCTTCAAAGACATCCTATCTGTACCACATACCAGTCTTTCCGGGAAAATCGAGCCAAGTTTTATAAAAGTGGAGACTGAGGCTTACCTCACACGGCTGTCATGTCAGAATCGGGCTTGTCACTTTTTGACACCAGTGCCCTTACGTCTCCTGCCCGTTGTCCACCCAGTACTTCCTCGCGTGTCAGGAGGGCTTGGTGAACAGAGCGAGTCCCTGCATGTTACGACACTGGGTGATTTACAGGACTAGGAGGGAGAAGGCAAGTCCTGTGATCACTGCTTCCCTCAGCCTCCCATCTATGGACCAATGAACTTCTTCTCCAAAGAACCATCTCTGGCCCATCAATGGAAGAAAAGCTTTGATTCAAATTTCAGACTCTACACCCTTGCTGACTCCCTGAGTTTTGGCCTCTAGCGGCGAGCTGGGGTTTGAGTGACTTCCCTGGAGGGCCCCACTCGGGAGGGGCTGGGAAGGGGTGTCTGTGTCTTCTTGTGGGACCCATCACATGCCATCTGGCCTCGCTGACCCTCAGACAGCTGGGAATATGGCTTTTCCCTGCAGGGCCCCTGGCCGTGAGGAGGGCTGAGTGAGCAGCACAGTGGCGGGCCCGTAAGACGCCGTCCACAGAGTGCTTTTCCTCATTCCCTCCATGGTTGCTGTTGGCTCCCTGCCGATGTTTGAATTTCAGCTCTCACGGGCCTCCTCTATCCCCACCTTAGCCTCCTGCAGCTGCTCCAGGCAAGCAACTACCACATTTGACAAAAGGAATAGGGGATGTGTGGCTCAGCCCTTGCCTTTTGGTTTGGGGGAGTCTGGGGGAGGATGACATCATCACGTACAATGCGTTTCCTCTGCCCTCAGCCACGTGGCCAGCTCTGCAGGCGTGCTCTGTGAATCTGTGGCAGCCCACCCCACCACACCCCCTGCCCGCATGCTCCTTCAGGTGTCTGTCGCTGCAGTGCACCTGCTCAGCCAGCACAGATGACAGGGACAGGCGACACTCGTGCCCATGAAGGAAGTTAAGAGGGAGAGGTTGACTGCCAACGGGTAATGCAAGCACTTCCTGCGAGTGGTTAGTATTTTATTTAAGATACCATAGAAAAAGTAAATTAAACATTTTTATATTAGAAGAAAAAATTCTAGATGATTCTGCAATGTTAGTGCCGAATCAAAAGAATCTCTATAATCTAATGGCTTCAGAAAGAAGGAATTCTCTCTCTCTCTTTGTCACTCAAGGGCCCAGCGATGTCAGCTGCTTTAACAGTGAGGTATGAATTATAGGAGTGTAGAGTAGCAAAACACTAAAACAATAATTATCTATCACGTGCCAACATTAGAGTATTAAAATCACAGTTAACATGTCACCCTAACATGCCACCATTCTGTCCCCAGTGTTTTCATTTTTACGCATTACCTTCCGTTTGCAGGAGTGTTTCTTCACGCACTTCGGTCCTGCAATAGGATTTTGCACTCTGCTTTATTTACCTGTAATCTGTAAATACCTCTTCTGTCTCTACATAGTGTCCGAAATTCCTATTTTTATAGACTATATAAGAATTAATCACGTTGACATCCCTAAACTCATTAAATTCTATATTCCAACATGGGATATTTTTATTATTTCAATGTTTTAGGTAGTGAGTAATGTCGTTCTAAAGAACTTTGTACTCATGATGAATTGTTTTCTTAGGATAAACTCCTGGTAGAGCGTGTTGGCTTTGCAATGTGTCTGCTTGGCTGAACTACATTTCCCATAATTCTCTTGCCTGCATGTTTCCCGTTAGGATGGGACCCAGGAGAAATTCTGAAGAGAGGCGGTCTGGAGGGTGGAAGTGAAGCAACGGCCATTTTACAGCTCACATGCACTGAAACTTATCTCACGTCACCGTCGTGTGTGTCAGGTCTACGTTCATTCCTAGATCCTCCTTCAGCCTTTCCAACTCCTAATCCAGGTGTGGGGGTTTGACTTTACGACAAAGCCAAGACTTTTGCAGGTTTCCCTTTCAGCAGGGCCAGAGCAACAAGCGCTGACACTGTTTCAGCCTGTCCTCACGGGCTCCAGCTCATGCTTGTGAGTCTCAGCTTATCTTTGGGCTCTTCATTTTATAGCTAACTTCCTTTCCCAGCTGCACCTCATCACCTTCAAGTCCCAACGTCAGGTGTGAAGAAAACAACTTTAGAGACAGCTCAGTCGGGTACCGCAATTACACCAGATCAAACCCCTGTAACGGGTCCTTAATATAAGTATATCCCCTAGTGATTTTGCTTCTCTGGTGAACTCTGACCGACAGAGCGGTTGCAAAGGAACCTTGGCTCCCTCATCTGATGAGATTCAAAAGCACTAAAGACCCTGTTTTCAGCAGAAAAGGAGGCTCTGCTTGTCCATGGCATTCGGTAGGAAATTAGTTATTCGAATGATCACCTTAGACACCTGTAATCAAAGCACATAGAAAGCAAGGATCTGGGTGACCCAGTGTTGATCGCCACAGGATGATTAGGTCAAAATGAGGATTACAATAAAGTAGATTGGTTGCTTTCTACTTTGCTGGAGAACTTGGAGAAAGAAAATAAGCTCAGAGCTTTAAATTCCCAGCTCGAGGTCTGCATAAGGAAACCGAAAGCTTCCATGACTGCCTTAAAAACAAACAAACAAACAAACAAAACCCTTATCTTCTGTGGTATGGCTGAAATTTCCGTAAACCAA